AGTAGAAGGAAAAATGGATTCAATAAAATTTCAGCAAATTTTGGATGTTAACTTGATGCCATCTGTGAAAAAGCTGAAGTTAAAGAGAGGATTGCTTCTACAAATGGATAATGATCCTAAACACACCTCGAAATCCACGGGGGATTACATCAAGAGGCGTAAACTGAAGGTTTTGCCATGGCCTTCACAATCTCCTGACCTCAACATAATTGAAAATCTATGGATAGACCTTAACCTCCCTGGCGGTCTGATTATTTCAGATTTTTGGTGCTGAAAGCGGTACCATTATTTTGCATGGAAATATGTAGTTTTTTTATTGTAGGCCAGTAATATTTAGGAATAACTCCCTGAAATCTGTCCAAACAAGAGTCTATTAAACATCCCGGGTATGATAAAATTTGAAACACGAAATCATAAATTATAATTTAATAAATAATCATAAAAAATAATAATATAATAATAATACATTTAATTCAATAATATAATCAAACCAAAAACACTGAAATGTGAAATATAGCGCCATAATAAGTTCGCACATTGCTGAGCAAAGTCGCAAAATCGTTTTCAGTGTCTGATGACGAATTTCCCCACAAATCATTATCACTCAATTCTGCAAGTGGTTCTAATTTACTATCGCTGTTCTCTAGCTGGTCTAAAACCGCTTTTGACCTAAAGGGACACTTTTTGGATGCCATGGACGTTTCTCAGTTTCCAGGCAGAAAGAACAGACAAAATGCAGGCAGGGTGCAGAACAAAGCACTAGGGACAAAATGTATGTGAAATTGGTTGAGACAGCAATGTTTTACTATGTAAAATGTAAAAAAAAAAAAATGACATTTTTTAAAATTTTTAAATTTCTCGCCGCCGGCGCCCGTACGTCCCGACGTCACAGGGACAGGACACAGAAGCCGGATGCCGGCATTGGTTCGGAGGAGATGGCCGGGGACGCTGCAGGGGACACATCGTGGGAGCGCTGGGTAAGATAAGTGAAGAACAAATGCCGGAGCAGTGCCGCATGGTATTCCCGAGTGTAGCTCAGGGTTACCGCTCTTGGTACTGAAATGTTACCCCGAGCTACACTCGGGAATACCGCCAAGGAGGTTAAAAGAGCAGTGCGTGACAGACAGCCCAGAAATCTCAAAGAACTGGAAGACTTTTGTAAGGAAGAATGGGCAAAGATACCTCAAACAAGAATTGAAAGACTCTTGGCTGGCTACAAAAAGCGTTTAAAAGCTGTGATACTTGCCAAAGGGGGCAGTACAAGATATTAACTCTGCAGGGTGCCCAAACTTTTGCAGATGCCATTTTTTTGTTTTCTGTTATTTTGAAAGTGTAAATGATGGACATAAAATCTAACTTTTGTTGACATATTATAAGAATGTCTAATCTGTAATTTGATGCCTTTTGGAGATTTTTCCATCTTTCCTTGGCTTCTTTATGCACATTAATACAAATTTTTAGCTGGGGTGCCCAAACTTTCGATCCCCCCACTGTATATATACAGTATATATATATATATATATATATATATATATATATTGTATGTTGAAATGCATTTTATTACAAAATATATGAAAATATTTTTAAAAATTCATTTCAAAAATACAGTATTTCTTTACAAATACAAATCCAATGTAAAAATATATGTTAAAATTACTTTTTTATATGTTAAAAAAACCTGAAGAATATATTTAAAAACATATATTTAAAAAAATATTTTTCATATATTTTGTAATATATAAAAAACATGTTAACATGCAATATACTGTATATATATTTATTTTGAAATATATTGAATATGGCCAAAATTGTAGTATTTCAATTATATGTCAATATATTTGGGAAGAATATTTTTAAAATATATTTCAAATATATTTTTCTTCCATGTGTTGTGGAAGAGGGAGGACATGTTCTGTTCATGCTCTAAGCCAGAATAGACTATTATACACTACTAGGGAGGGACCAAAGCACAAAGTAGGTATCCTGATTCTAAGTTCCAGTGCCACATCACAGTTAGTGCGGGTGAAAAGACCTATTCCAGGCTGGTCGGACAACAGTTGGAAGATAACCTATGACTGTTGATCTTGTCTTCGGGTCTCTGACACAAAGACAAATGCACATCATCTTCAGGGGCTCATACAACTGGACTTTGCTGCAACATTTATCTGGAGGTATCTCTATTCATAACTACATATACCCAGCCAGGGGCGGACTGACAACTCATGGGGCCCCCGGGCAATAGGGGATCATGGGGCCCCTGTGTCCTCGCCCATAACAAAAAAGCCTATGAAAAAAACCAATGAAAGGTACCTGGGGCATCTCATGGGGCCCCCTACTGACCCCAGGCCCTCGGGCAGTGCCCGAGTGCTCGAATGGTCAGTCCTCCCCTGTACCCAGCTGTATGTGCACAATTCCAACAGGACTCCTATAATACCCTTTGCTTATATAATACCTTTTTTTATATTGGAAGTATGTACTGTTATTTATCTCATTTTATAAAAAGCATTTATTATTTCTAACTAGAGTACCACTATATGCTTTTGGTTAATGCTATATGCTGGTTGCAGTAGTTCTTCTGCTCTCAATTAATTTGTTTAGATTACTGAATAATTTCCCAGGAAGAGAATCCCCTCTGTGTCAGATAGGCCTTGTCCTGGGTGGAGACAGTGCCAACTTTATTATCAAACCTATTTTTCCACTTAGCAAATAATCCGGTTCTCTTTTTTACCTACAGATTTAGCACAATATCCTGTTTGGGAAGGATCATTCTTATAACCCCCACCAAAAGAGGGCTACACATGTTACCCTCCTTCTGGTCTGCATTTAACCTGCTTCAAGTAGGTTTTGCATGCCCTTGGGCATGTGTGGTAAAGCAAAACGTATTGTTATATGCCAATGATACAAGCCCTAAGTATGCAACACACACTCAGTTTCCTCTAGGAAAGGGAGCTCTATCCAAAAAGTCTGAGATCCTACACAACCAGTACTGCTTTCAAAGGGTGAACTTAGTATTTTAACCAAGATTTCTGTGTAGTCTGACAAAGTGGAAGTGAATGTTCAATTCCTATGGAAAATCCACTTCAAATGAAAGGATACAGAAAAGCTGGTTTCACAGGAAGCAGGTCACACAAGAAGTTCAACTGAGAAACTGAGGTCAACCTTTTAAAGATGAGGGGAGAACTTTTATCTGGTCTTGAAGATCTGTGCTTGCAAAAAAAAAGTCTAACATTACACAGATTAAAAGCATTTATTTTAAATGATGTGTTTCTTTAAAGAAGCCCTCTTTTTTGTAAGGCAGCAAAATGAAGAGGCTAGACTGGAGATAAATTATAATAATGACTTATACATATTTTTACCTTTCTAATCATTACATGTTAATTGTGATAATGTGTGTCCATTTATATGTATTGATCTGCGTGTTTGAGTTTGTTTTCCTAAGATAACATTTTTTCTTTTAAGCTTTTCAATGACATATTCTACAACACTTAAAAAATCTCTGAATGTCATAGAAGAAGTTTTGGATCATTGCATCCAGCATAAAGGGTGTTATAACTTGTCTCAACTCATGTCAAGCAAAGTGCACTCTCCTTTATTACAGGAAATAATAGCACATTTGGAGAGAACTGATCTATGACGGCAATTGGTGACTTTCCTGATATTCTATAGCCAATGAAGATTTTTTTTTTAAGTAATCCTAAGCTGCTTTGATCTGACCTGTGTCTGAAAAGGTTTCTCAGTTTTATATACAGCTAAAAGCAGGAAGACTTTCCAAGGGCAGCTACTGTAGCATGCCCAATACATTAGTGAGCTGTTAGTGGCATGCCTTGTAGACTGCTTTAACTGGCTGCGGGCGCTTTGTTTGATTTAGCAAAAACTGTCAGTGAAAGTTCCTGAGATGAAATTGATCCTGGAAAATTGCTCCCTATTCCTTTGGTAATCGTATTTCTCTACAATTGCTCTGCCATGGTATACAATGCAATCTAGGCTATGATAACAGTAATACATTCATTTGATGGACTGAAATACACAAGTGGTTTAAAGCATGTACAGTAAGCGGACATAAATACATGAATTACTAGCACGTGCCCTTATTCTATAGAGTGTACAAAGGAATAAAAAGAGATCATTTTTCATCCCTTAAAGGTGAAATAGCACAACAGGAGGTGACATGAAAATAAAAGTACTAAATGTATTCAAAGTAAACAAATGTATTCTCCGAGATGTAAGTTCATGCTTTAGTCCCCCTTCCACCACTTGCAGCACAACTATGATAGGAGAAGCCAGGTTGAAAGATCAGGATAATGTTGTCATGTACAATACAGGAACTCTCAAAATATTTCTATGAAGCATCTGCTAGAAAATGTACCAAGAAATGGTGTATCGTCGTACTCTGCTTCTATATAATAATAATTTAAGAATAAAGTTAGGTGTAAGAGAACAAAAACTTAACTTAAGATCAATATGTTACAGCTGAAGGTAGGAGCAGATTTCTCAACCAAGGCAGAGATAAAGGCTCAGCAGAATATCAAATAAAACCCTCTTGATCAACAACTGCACACTGTGTTCATAGTAAACTGCAGTCAGCTAGAAGCTCCTAATATTCCTTCATTTCTTTTTCTATCTGACCAGCAGATACATGCTATGCCCAAAATACTATAAGTATCTGCAGTCAGCTAGAAGCTCCTAATATTCCTTCATTTCTTTTTCTATCTGACCCATAAATACAGTATGCCCAATAAATAAAGTATCAATAAGAAAGTATCTTTTGAACAGACTTTATCAAACTGAAATATGATTGGCAGCCTTGGTTACACATACGTTCACTGTTCCTGAATAATTCTTAGTAGTTCATACTACATGGACAGTGTGATATTGCAGATGGATTAGCTGCAGTAACCTTTGTTTTGTTATCCTGTGAGATGTTATAAAAAATAAAGTAATACCGTATTTTTCGCTCCATAAGACGCACCTGACCATAAGACGCACCTAGGTTTTAGAGACAGGAAAAAAAATATTCTAAACCAATGGACTGCAGACATAGTACAGATGATGACCAGACACTGCAGACATAGTACAAGAGATGACCAGAGACTGCGGACATAGTACAGGAGATGACCAGAGACTGCGGACATAGTACAGGAGATGACCAGAGACACAGACTGCGGACACACAGTACAGGAGATGATCAGAGACTGCGGACATAGTACAGGAGATGATCAGAGACTGTGGACACAGTACAGGAGATGATCAGAGACTGCGGACATAGTACAGGAGATGGTTAGAGACTGCTGACATAGTACAAGAGATGACCAGAGACTGCGGACATAGTACAGGAGATGACCAGAGACTGTGGACAGCACAGGAGATGACCAGAGACTGCGGACACAGTACAGGAGATGACCAGAGACTGCGGACAGCACAGGAGATGACCAGAGACTGTGGACAGCACAGGAGATGACCAGAGACTGCGGACAGCACAGGAGATGACCAGAGACTGCAGACAGTACAGGAGATGACCAGAGACTGCAGACATAGTACAGGAGATGGTTAGAGACTGCGGACATAGTACAGGGGATGATCAGAGACTGCGGACACAGTACAGGAGATGACCAGAGACTGCGGACAGCACAGGAGATGACCAGAGACTGTGGACAGCACAGGAGATGACCAGAGACTGCAGACAGCACAGGAGATGACCAGAGACTGCAGACATAGTACAGGAGATGACCAGAGACTGCGGACAGTACAGGAGATGACCAGAGACTGCAGACATAGTACAGGAGATGACCAGAGACTGCGGACAGTACAGGAGATGACTGCTGGCCTTTGGGGAGGGGGGGGGGAGTGGGTACCTGAATTTGACAGGTACCCGCTCTTCCACGGAGTTGTTCTTTGGTTAGAGTCCGCTCTGTAGTGCGACCTTACCTGTTCTTCTATCCAGCGCTGCGCTGTCTTCCCGGCTTCTGTAGTGTGGGTGCTCGGCTTGACAGCCAGGTGCCCAGTGCGCATGAGCGAGAAGCGCTGCGCTTTGTGATTGGTCCGGCAGCTTCTGGGACCTGTCATGTGTCCCAGGTGCCACCTTACCATTCACAAAGCGCAGCGCTTCTCGCGCATGCACACTGGGCACCCGGCTGTCAAGCCGAGCGCCCACACTACGGAAGCCGGGAAGACAACGCGGCGCTGGATAGAGGAACAGGTAAGGTCCCGCTGCAGAGCTGAGCGGCCGGCCCTGTATTCTGACACGGCGGCGGTGGAAATACCAGACCGGCCGCTCCATATTCACTCCATAAGACGCACTGACATTTTCCCCCCTTTTTTGGGGGGAAAAAAGTGTGTCTTATGGAGCGAAAAATACGGTAATAAAAAAATATATCAAAGAGTGCAAATAAATTATACAATAAATAATAAAAGAAAGAAATTGTACAAAAAAACGTATAATAAATAAAATGAAAAAAATATGTATAGAATAGTCCCACTCCAAAAAAATAATTATTAGGATGAGTATGGTGAGTAAAATAAAGTTGAAAGGTCCTTATCCAAAAGACCCTTGACCTGTGTTCACACCCGTTAGTGCTCAGATCTCATACCGCACTCACCAGATATTGGTGAAAAAAAACGCCTTATTTTGGGGTTTTAAGGAATCCTAGACCCAATCAGTACAGCCTCCAATCACCAGGTTTAAATGGAACTCCCCCAATGCAGGTAAGATATATGCCTCAGACCTCCAAACCGTAGTATAAACCAGCCTCCAACCTCCAGAATCAACAGAGACCACTCGCCATAAAGAGATGATTGGTACAGAGAAAAAATATATATAGTGCAATACTGCAAGACTCGGACAGGATAAAATGCAAATACCAAACCGCTCACATTTCCAAAGAATATAATCAGCATTTATTGTATTAAATGGAGCCAGAACGCCACATCACCAGGGTTTAACCTCCCTGGCGGTATGATTATTTCAGATTTTTGGTGCTGTAAGCGGTACCATTTTTTTGCATGGAAATATGTATTTTTTTTATTGTAGGCCTGTAATTATTAGGAATAACTCACTGAAATCTGTCCGAACAAGAGTCTAGTAAACATCCCGGGTATGATAAAATTTTAAACACAAAATCATAAATTTTAGTTTAATAAATAATCATAAAAATAATAATATAATAATAATAAATTTAATTCAATAATATAATCAAACCAAAAACACTGAAATTTGAAATAGAGCGCCAAGTTCGCACATCACTGAGCAAAGTCGCAAAATCGTTTTCAGTGTCTGATGACGAATTTCCCCACGAATCATTATCACTCAATTCTGCAAGTAGTTCTAATTTACTATCGCTGTTTTCTAGCTGGTATAAAACCGCTTTTGACCAAAAGGGATGCTTTTTGGATGCCATGGACTTTTCTAAGTTTCCAGGCAGAAAGAACAGTGAAAATGCAGGCAGGGCACAGGACAAAGCAGTAGGGACAAAATGTATGTGAAATGGTTTTATTCAGTAATGTTTTACTATGTCAAATTAATTTCTAAGAAAATTACAGTTTCAAAAAATGTTTAAATTTGCCGCATTTCCGACCCCGTACGCCCCGAAGCTCGCAGGGACCAGAACACGGAAGCCGGATGCCAGCATCGGCCGGAGAAGATGGCCAGGGATGCTGCAGGGGATGCATCGTGGGAGAAAAGGACAAGGTAAGTGCTGCAGGGAATCCCTGAGCAACGCCGCATGGTAAGCCTAAGTGTAGCTCGGGGTTAGCGCTTTTGGTACTGAAACTTTACCCCGAGCTACACTCGGGAATACCGCCAGGGAGGTTAAAGATCTCTCAATTAGCAATAGATGACAGCATAGGAATCCACCCTCAAGCAAGAAGGCCCCTGAGAGCACCGCATGCCAGCGTGCACTCCACTCGCCGGAAGTGACATATTTTTGCGCTGTTTGATATTTTTTGTTATTATTTTATTGTTGTTTACACTAAGGAGAAGCAGCATTTATTTAGGAATTACTTCACGATTTTTTTGGGCGCTAGCTGGTGATTGTTTGTATATATAAAAAATTCCTTTATACTTCAGCAGTTCATCACAAAGTTTATTCCACATAAGAAGCCAACACGTAAACTCTCAACAACAAAACTCCCCCTCCAACAGGCACTGTAAAATGATCGTGGATAGATTAAATGGACTCTTATTTTGGAGAAAATGTAGGTATGTCTCATACTACAAGTAAAACGGGCAGAAAATGTTTTACATGATTGTGATGAAACTCAGAAGTACAAATTCTGTGCCTGCTCTATAGTGTTCTATCATTTCATATTGCACTAAAGGAGATTTACTAAAACTGGTTCTCTCAGAATCCGGTTCTGCTGTGCATGGTAACCAATCAGGTTAGAACGTCAGCTTGTTCAATTAAGCTTTGACAATAAAACCTGGAAGCTGATTGGTTTCTATGCAGAGCTGTGCCAGATTTTGCATGCTCCACTTTTAGTAAATCTCCCCCACAGTGTTATCTTAGTACCACCAGGCACTACAGCCTTTCACAAGAATACTATGATTTTAAAATAAATCTTTATGCTCCCCCTTCAAAGAAAAAGATAATAATAAAATCAAATATATATTTGACCTGTGATGTAGCCCTTGATGTCACATTAAGTTATTATGTATGAAGTTTCCTGCCATTTTTTTCCTTCCTATGAAACCTACCCATTTCCTCAACTACAGTATAGTCTATGACCATTTTTCAGCAATCCACCATCATTTTACAAGCCCTGATGAAGGCTTCTTATTTGGGTGCTGCTCTCTATCAGGGTATATCAAAGGACCCCCAGAATAAAAGAAGCCAGCATAATCCTCCAAATAAGAGGCCAGCATCTCAACCTCTACTATAATTTGTATAATCCATGCTGCACCCATGTCTTGTATCACTGATGGGCTTGGTCAACCAATGGATCCGATAGTTCATAATAGACTTAAAGCAGCGTACCAGCTGAAAAAAAAAGTCGGCAGCTACAAAAACTGTAACTGCTGACTTTTAAAATACAGCCACTTATCTGTCCCTCAGTCCAGCGGTGTCCTCACTATGGCTGGTTTCACGGGCCGTCTTCTCTCCTTGGTGCTGGCATCTTTAGTGTGGGCACCCAGTTGTGACAGCTTGCAGCTTCACAGCCGGGTGCCCATTGCACATGTGTGAGAAGCACTGCACTTTGTGAATAGTCCCGTAGTCTTCTGGGACCTGTCATGTGTTCCAGAAGGCTACGGGGAGGGAGAGAGGACAACTTTCGCTTCCGATCGCCTAGGCGATCGCAGCGGAAGTGGGAGCGGGTACCTGTCAAATTTGGGTACCCGCTCCCCAAAGGTACCAATCCTTAATGGGGAGCAGGGGACAAAGCATTAAACAGAACTTCCCCTTTTGGGTGGAAGTCCGCTTTAAGAAGAAAGTTTAGTTATTATTTTACATGTAAAGTCAAATATTTTATTTTCATGGACTGACATGCGTACCAAGAAATGTAACTTTTATTAGGAAACTCTTCTGTTAATAACTTTGAAAAGTTTATCTCTTAAGTTCAATAAGATGTTTGCTGCCCTATCAGACTTCAAAGGATTTTAAACATTTTGTCAAAACAAATTAGATGACATCACAGTTCCCAGAACTGTACATAAGTCCTCCAATATATCAGCTGAGAAGTGGGTTCATCTGCTATATGAGTGATATAGTACTGGACCTTTTTTAAACAAGTGTAGATTGAATCAAATAAGAATAAATAATGTTTTATTAAAACCAGATATTCGATCTATGCACTGCAAGCCAAACTCATAAATCAGAGAGAGCTAATAGAGTTTGTAGCTGGAATCTCAGCAGAAGTACCATACTTATATATCATCCCATACAGAGACTCTGAGTTCTAATCTGAACTTCAAGCAAACTTACAGTTCCTTAAATGTGTATTTATTATGTCTCTTATTAAAGATGTCACTGTAAATTTGGTATCTATTAACCAGGAAAGACCTGGCGATAAACACCATGGAATGATCTAACATTTGAACAAAATATTTTCAGACTGCAAAATCAGCTGTTTAAATGGAAAGACACAAGGTGAGTTGCTTCATTATTTCAAAAAGTTTCAGCTTTACATGAAAAGTGCTTAAATGCCAAATCTTGCAGGGGTCAACCATTAATAAAACAATGCAAAGTGTGTCCAGATATCTTAAAAATCTGGAAAGCAGTTCCTGAACTGTGCTGCTGTAACTTTTTTTTTGCTAAGTAATTATGGGAAATATAAAAAATGACATATATGATGCAGTCTTTCACTAGTATTAATATAGCAGTGTTTGTTTTTGTAGGTTCTCCCTGTAACATAGTTTTTTTTTTTAAAGTGTTACTACACCCAGGACCCTGCATCCACTATATCTGGTCTGCCAC